ATTATTTAAGTGTACACAGTGATGCAACATCTATTTTTAACTCATTAAAATGTAGTCTTTCACTATGGGTGTAAATAACTGTTCAAGCTGAATTTTACATTTCGACTAAGCACACGACGCTTTCAGAATAGGACCTTGGGAGCCAAGCTGCCTGCATTTGAAGTTTAGCCCTACTAGCAAAGTGCTTGCTTCACGTCTCTGTGCCTGTTTCCATGAGTACCGCCATGTCTATTCCAGCGTAACAACATAAGACGTGAAGTTATACAGAGTTTAAGGAATACTTTCATAAAGTGTTATGCTGCCTTTAACAAAGAGACTTTATTTTAAATGTTTAAAGTTAAGTCTCATTAAGAACATGGGAGCAAGTGAATGGAAGAAGCTGTAGAATGTGTTACTCATCTTACTCTAATGCCCATGTGCCAGAGTAGTAACTTATGCACAGAGTACTGAGCCACATAAATAAAATACTTTCACCATAATTCCTGCTTCCTTTAACTCTGGATTTCAATAGGTGGATCAACTTTATAGGTGACTCACTATTGGAAAGAACAGTGAATGTGATAAACAACACCTTCAAACCAAAAGGGCCTCAACAAGCTGTAGCAATGGACTGGGGCCCTCACGGTGCAGTTTGATGGGGACAGACATCTTGCTCTTTGATCTAAAAATGAATCACAAAGGTACAGGATATGGAGAAACTGCAGAAATAACTCTTGAAGTAGCATAGGAATTTTATCTGAAAGCGAAATTAAGATATGCAGCTGTCAAACAGTAAAGAAGATTTGATCTTAGACTGTGTCAGGAGAGTATGGTATCTACACGAGTCATTTTCAGTCAGACACACTTTCCTAGGAAGCATGTTAGAACCTCCTGACACTTCAGGACTTCTTATTTCTAATGTGCAGGGGGTTGGATGGGGCTGATGGCAGTGTGGAGTAGGAGATACCCAGGATAGGGGTTCTATTTGTCATGACTTCCTAGTAAATTTCAACTCCATTTAATGGGGAAACTGTTAAAAATATGTCACAAACTCAGCATTGTAGTACTAACATCATTAATTTTATTGAGAACTTATCTCTGTATAACATTTATTCTATGCCAGGCATCATTCTCATATGTCACTCATTGAAACGGAATCCTAAGAACCATCACCCCTATTCTACAGTTGAGAAAAACAAGGTGTGGAAAGTTTTATCAAAGCGAGTGACAGCCCAGTGATTCTACCCGCAGCCACCACCCAAGCTTGAGCCTCCCTCCAGTTGGAAGGATTAGGTGTGAACTTTTAAATATGATAGTCAAACTATTTTCATGGATCTTTTGGAATTGTTAAAAAAAAGATTGACACAGTTATATGACACAGAAATAATGTTAATGCAGTTGCTATTAGTTTAGTAAAAACACATTACACAGCATCAAAAGTCATGTTCATGAGACAAAATTTTTTACTTATTGAGACCGCAAGTCATCTGTGCTATCAATTTAATGGGGAAGTTATTGAGAGAAAAATGATGTGATAATTGCTGGATATTTGATGATTCAAATTTGCTTTTCCCAGTTTTAATCTGGTAACTTTATATGTCATGTAGTAAGGAGTTTAGTATAAATACAGTTTAGAGAATAAATAAAGCTTTTTTAAAATTAACGATTTCTGCAAAAATTTATGTGAATTTACCAGTTGTCATAATCTAGTGTGCCTCATGTGGACCACACATCTTCCATTCTCTATCTTTGATTGGCCTACTCTGTGGGGCCATGGGGTAGGGGTAGTACATCTCTCCTCATGGGAACTATTGAAGCATATACTGGATGTAAGCATAGAGCACTTGGCAGTGATGCTGCAGAAGCAAATTAAGCTCTGATAGATACTGACTTTTCTATACAGGACTGCCTACATTTGCAGATCCCAATGCAAAAGGCAAATATAGAATATTTCAAGATGGTGACAGTGGAACATTAAACCAAGCATAAGGACCATCTATGCAGGGAACCTTGTGTACCTTCACAAACTACATACCCAGGTAGCTGGCCCTCGTTTCATGTTATAAAAATATGGAACTTAGGGACACATTTCATTAAGAGCAGCACTACTAAAAGTGAAGAGAATCAGAGGATAATTATAAAGAGTGAAAATAAATTTCTGGAAAACAGGACATGAATGAAAGCATGCTGACAAATGAAGCAGACAGAAAGTGCAGGCCAAAATAATTCTGCAGCAGAACTGGGAATTGATTTTCTGGACGTGGGGCTGGTAGGTGCAGTGTGAGAAGGTGAGATGGTAAATCACAACTGAATTAGTTGGCACCTCCAAATCACCATTTCCCTCTACCAGGGAAGGCACCCTTGTGATTACATGCAGGCATACAACTGGGTTCTCCACTTCTAAAGACATTTAACATACAGCCCAGGGAAAATTAATGCAGACCTAGGAGGGAAACAAATGCACATCAACAGCAGAAGAGGAAAGAAAGCACACTAGCTCTCTAGAAAAATCAGCTCCGACCTTCATGGCTGAATATGAAAGGATGACCAAGAAGTGCCACACAGAGGACGATTTTCAGCATGATTAGGAAAAGGCTAGCTAAGCTAACAGGAAAGGGACACAAGGAAACACAATTTAGTGAACAGAAGAGAGGTTTAAAAGTTGTTATTCTCAGAGATAGTTGAAAGTGCATTTGTGAAACAGAAGCAGGGGGCTATTAAACAAGAAAGAGGTCTTAGAGAGTATTTTTGGTTAATAGCTAAAGTAATATTTGAAAATTTAATAGATTTGGTAGATAAAAATGATGTAATTTCCCAGAACATTAAGTTAAAAAGATGAAGAAATATACAAGAAAAAAAAAGATAACTATAAGAGATTGGTCTTGGAGGCTGTCATATAACTAATAAGATTCCCAGAAAGACTGGTAAATCAGAGAAAATGGCAGGAAAGAAATTTCAAAGAAATTACAAAAAAATTTTTCAGAGAGGAAGAGAGCAATGAATCTTCAATGAAAAGAACAGATAAAATGATAAAGATCTTCAATAAGAGATATTATGGGGAAATTTCAGAACATAAAGAATATAAAGTAATCTACAAATGCTTTCCAAGAGAAAACAATAGTTCCCTGCAAGGACTTGAGAAGGAGACCAGCTCTTCTGGGAACCAACATTGGAAGCAGAAGTCAGTGGAACTATGCCTTCGAGATTAAGCGAAACTGATTTAAAAAACATGGAACTACTCATAATTTGTCTCCTAAACACTCTTTTAGGGAAAGTTACTTAAGAGGTAATCCAGGAACTATAAGAAATGTTGGTTTAAACCCAGAAACCAAGTGAAAAGAAATTAAAATTTAACTGTTCAGCTTGAAGGACAGAAAGAACCAGTCTAAGCGCAGTACGTTAGTGGGCTCCTCAAGTCTTCAAGAATTCATTAGATTCAAGCAATGGAGAGGAATGGAACGCTCTAAGATCTTAGAGATGTGGTAAAGGTTACAAGAAGAAAAAGAAAAGCAGTTAGGAACTCCAATAAATAATGAAAATTGCACAAGGGAATCAGCACTGAATAGTAGGAAAACTGAAATGTGGCATATTTTGAGTGTAGTATAGGAAAAAAGAAGTCGTTTATTTGTCTGAGTGTATTTCTCTTCGTGTGACACAAAAGGTCCAGGACTGCGAGCCGGGAGTCGCGGATACACAGACCACCACGGAGTTCTTGTGTTGGAGGAGCTTATAATACAGCGGGAGGCACAATTCTGAGGAAGAGACATGACAAGCAGTCACAATTACAGAAGCAGGACGCTGAGAGGCAATCTACTTCTACCCTCGCTAGGTGCCAACCTCAGCTACAACGCCCCCCGCAGACACTTCCTAAACTGCCCCGCTTCCGCCCACAGTACTCTGCGCTTCGACATACGAACTGAGCCTGCGCCAAGACTAGTGCGCACGCGCCAACCCCGGTCCAATCGGAATTTCAAGCCAGGGAACTCCAGGGTGACGGCCTAACTTAGGGGTGGGGCGGAGCTCGAGGCCGAATGACGGACGTGACTGGCCAGCCGCGGGGTACACATTCTTTTAAGGGCGGAGGCTCGCCCTTAAGCCACGTCCGGTGAACTGTTCTCCTAATTTGGGAAGGGCCCGGGGTGGGCGGAGCGTGGAGCGGCGAGCGGCTCCGAGTGCGCCGGCGTCGATCGCTGGGACAGGGCGTGTTCTCGTGCTGAAGCTAACTGGGCTCTGTCCCGCTGCATCTCTGGCACCTGAGTTGCACCCTGGAAGAGCCCGTGCTTCCCGCGCCCCACCTGTCAGGAGCTGCCTTCCGCGGTGAGTGTGTGTGGCTGGCGCGTGGGTTCGCATCTCTCCGAAAAGATATGGCAACTCCCTCCCCACGCCGCCCCATCCCCCTGCCCGGACCCTGCCCGCCGATGCCGGCTTTCCAGGGAAAACGGGAGCGCCAGCCCGGGGCTCTCGCTTTTCTGTCCCTGCACCGTCCCGCCGTCGCTCACGTGCTTTGTTGTTGTTTGGTGCAGATAATGTCCAAGTCTCTGAAAAAGCTGGTGGAGGAGAGCCGGGAGAAGAACCAGCCGGAAGTGGACATGAGTGACCGGGGCATTTCCAGCATGCTGGATGTCAACGGCTTGTGTGAGTTCTGGGGCAGCGCCTTCCCTGGGAGGAGCGGGAAGGGTTTATACGTTTTCCCAGTAACTGCCCATCCTGGTGTGCGAGGTTATAATGGTTTACATCCCACGCCCTGCTTGTAAACATCACTTGTCAAGAGCTTAGCTCAGCAAGTTTGCAGTCGAACCCGAATGGAAAATGGACGAGAGTCTAGGGTAAGAATCACAGTTACTGCTGTACCTCAACTCTTTGTGCTCATTTAGGGCATTTGAGTAGACTTTCCACAGTCTACTTACTAGCCTCCTTGTTTCTTACTTGAAAATCTTTTTTGAATCATTCTTCCTTTCTTCTAATACAGGCTTTGGCTCCTCAAAAAGTTACACCATAAGTATTCTTGTGCGTAGAGTATATTAAACATTTCCTGACTCATTACCTTTTCCTGGATCTTTATTTTCTTAGTTTAGGCTCTTCTTATCTCATTTTTGTGCTTTGTAGTATTTTCCTAACTTTCCCTCTGCCTCACTTTTGCTGCCCCTGTGCTTTAGTCTGTATTGCTTTGAGTGTTATTTTCTCATAATACACACCATATTTTGTAACTTTCTCCTTTAAACCAGGCACCGCAAACTCAAATGCTGAGGCCAGGGGAGGGTGTTAATGAACTCCATAAAGGTATCATATCTGAAGGGGTAGCTTCCGCTTGTGCCACTTGGATCCAAATACTTGTCACCACATGGGACTTTGGCCCAGTGTTACCAGATTTTTTTTTTAAGACGCCAAGAGTCCAGATTTTTATGTGAAATTTTCTAATATTTAGAAGTTGGCAGCTAATTCCAGTATTTGAAAAATACTTCATAGGCGAAACAGAACTTGTTCAGGCTAAAGATGGCTTCAGTTTGGACCCTCTCCCTTAAACACTCTTCCTACTTGTTCATTACCAACAGTTAATGCTCTGAGTTCCTTGGCATGACATGCAGGCCTTTCTGCATCTGGCTACAATCTACTTGAGCTCCTGGTCCTTTTATGCATATGTCCTCCCCACCAAGCCGAACTGATTGCCCTTCCTGACCGAGGGCACACTCCTGGCTTTGTGCCTTTGGAAGTCTTGTTTACACTCTCTCCACTCCTCTTCACCCCAGATCCTTTTACTTATCTGCCAGGAGCCAGCTCAGATGCCACAGCCTGTGTGAAGCTTCTCTGTCTGTAGCAAGCTGACAGTCACTTTGTGAGGTGGGACGTGCCTTGCTTTATGACTCTTGTGACATGGGTTTGTGATGTGTTTTTCATCCAGATGTCTCTCTTCCCCTTTTAGAGACTGGGGGTCCTGTGGCTGTGCTGCGTCCACATTTACCTTCTTTATTATCTTGTACGGAACACAGATGCTCAGAAATGTTTGCTGAATGAAGCAAAGGATGATGGATTTGGCCCATGAGTTTATATGATCCAGACCAAGATGTGACATTGGAGAAGGAGGAGAGATGTCCAGGAGACTGTAAAACATGACAGGTTGCTTCTTAGGCCTGAGCCAAATGTACCATGAATCCTTGGTTTGGCCTGGCACAGATTGCGGTTGGTGCTGTTGAAACATGTCCACGAAAGGAAGGAGCATGAAAAGTTGTAGAGGATTTGCATTTGGTAACCTGAAGGAAGACCCTGCCATTTAACTTAGCTTTCCCACTGCCTAGCGTCTCAGCCTCTGGGATGCGTTGGCCCCGCCCAGTGTGAAGGCTCCTTGGTGGCAGCCACAGAGCAGTTGTCTCTGGTACTCGGAATTGGCAGCTGCAGCGTAGGTGTGTCCCTCGCTGCCCTCTGGCTCTGTCATGGTCATGGTGCTGGTTGGCCACGCTGCCCCAGAGGAAGATGGTGAATGGCAGGCGGAAGGCCTGGCTTGTCTGTACTTTTGGCCCTGAGGCTTTCCACTTCTCAGCAGTCTGTTTCTCATGGGGTTGAAGAAAGAGATTGCTTTCAGCAGAGGAACTTTATACTCTTTAGCTTTGAAGAGGATTCTTTATGTTGTATTTATAAATACTGGAGAGTTTATAATTTATAAAGGGACAGTAGTGTAGCTATTTCAGTTCAGTTGCACTATCTCTTTGAAGCCTTGGATTTTATTGAAGAAGAAGAGATAGCCACTTGCATCCTGAAAAAGATGTTTCCGGTGTAATATTCAGTGGTAAAAAGCAAGGTCATTCTTAAATTTTTCCAAAGTAATTTGAGGAAGTCGTTTGAGGAAGAGCAACAGGGCTTCTTGGGGGCTTTAGGAGAAGTTTGGAGATACCACCTCCTTTGGCCTCTGTCGTGTGTGTAGATCGGAGAAGTGGCTGCTTTCTGCTAGAACTCCCTGCCTTCTGGAGCCTGAAAGGCCCCAGGATGCCTTCAGGTATCAGAGCCTGTATCGCTTACTGTGTCTATTTCAATATTTTTATATATTAAAATATTTGACATGATTACATTAAATGTGGTATAAGAATTCATGTGTCCCTTTACTTATAAAATTGTAACTGTAATCATGACGTTTTATGTATCAATATCAGAATTAAACACAGGCGGCAATTCATTTGCATGGGCAGAGAATGGTTATTGCATCTCCATCTTTTCCTTCCTCATTCTTAATTTCCTTAAAGGTAAGCAGAAATTAAATTTTGAACTGAAGAAAGGGGGTTTTTAGTACTTACAAGCATGTGAAATGTCTGCTTCTGCTTGGGAGAGCTGTGTCTTAGAAATGCAGCCCTTCCTCTGAGGTAGTAAATTGCCTTTGCACCAGCTTTCCAGGCATTTAAGTACCAAAAGCTTTCTGATGGGGAACACTTCACAGGCTGGAGACTGACATCAGACAGGCTCTACCCTTTTCTGTCAGTCCAGCCATATTCCAGATGTGCACAGATCCTAGTCTGGGAGGCAGAGCCTACATGTGGGGTTTTTGGAGTTGAATGGATGGGGTCAGATTATCTATTTTCTGTTTAGTACTGTGCAACTGGAGAGAACCTGTCTGAGCCTCAGCTTCCTAGAGTCAGAGGGAAATGTCAGCACTCACTTGCAAGGAGTGTGCTAGCGCTGAGTGTGCTGGTATGTGTCAGGCATTTAGCGCTGTGCCTGGTCCTGAGTTAGTGCTCAGTATGTGTTAACTGCTAATGTGAATGCCACATAGTCTGTAAGTCTCAGATGTGACCAGTGCCAGCCTAGTCAATGGCCTGAGCCCAGAATAGTATGATTAATTAGACTGGGGAGGGCTTTTATATGTCATATGTTGAGGTTTTCTGTGTGACTTAGTAAAACCTGCAGTACTTGGTTCCTTTTGCGTAGGGTTCTTAGAAATACAGATAGCTATTTCTTTGAAATCACCCATCATTTTATTTCTTTTCCTTCATTTTTTTCCTACACTGCACATAATCTGCACGCACATTCTCCGTAAAGCTTCCAAGAGTATTGACATCAAATTTGTTCTTTTTATTGAAGAAATTTGCTGTAGAAGCCTCTCCCGCCACAGCCGCTGGCTCCACCTGGATGGTAAAGTTGCTTCTGAAGCATCCTGTAATCAGCTTCCAGGGGAGCAGAGATCCCATTGGTGGCCAGGGAGACTTTTGTCCATTTCTTTAAATCTTTTGTGATTTTTTGATCTCCAAGTTTACTACTCTCTGGATGGTCAAACGTTTGTCAGTTTGTTTTTCTTTTCAGAGTAGAATGAAATATCTCCCAGATAAGTCTGTCTCCCTCTGAGGGACTGGCCTCTCTAACAGACCATGCAAAATAATAAAAAAACATAATCATGTTATCTGGAAGAGCTGCTCCAAAACCCTGGTAAACCTGGATGTTGTCTTCCCTGTTGGGAATTTTTATCAGCATAGCCTGTCTTTGGGGGAAAGAGAGAGGAGCTGTGAAGACTGTATCTTTTTAGCTATAATATTTATTAAGACCTGTTACTGTTTTACTCTGAGTTGCATGTACATGCCCAGCTTTGTGTTTGCAAACAGATAGTGTCTTGGCCGGGGAAGCCCTTTTCTTTATACTGCCTCCAGCTAACTGCCCACCCCCCCACTTGTCACTCACAGCTTGTTGAAAGAAGGAATGCCTTCTCTGTCCTCAGAACTGCATTCTTGTGGTGCTTCCTCTGAGAAGCTCCCCCAGTGCTAAATTTTAACCCATCATCCCAGCTAACCTGGAATGTGTCTCCTCTGGGCGTGGTGTGCATATGTCTGCTATCTCTTTGCTTGGGAAGAGTTTATCGAAGAAGGATGCAGTTTCTTTTAGTGAAGAATTCTGGTGAGCTGCAGTAGGAAGCATAGCCGGTGAGGGGGACCATATCCGACCCCTTCCCACTTCCCAGAGGGAAAGCAGTTCACAGCTATCAGGTATGTGATTGAACTGTTCAGCGTTCTATTTTGGTTTTTGAACAAGGTAAACACTGAAAATATTTCATCCAGACAGGAAATAAAAATAAAAATGGTGACCCCTTTCATGTAACTGAACTAATGACCTTTTACTCTTTTCCAGTCATTTTGACATTTTTGCTCCAGTGACTTGGCCTCTCTTTTGTGTCCAGCTTTTGCGTTGCTAGCTGTGTAACCTGGGGCAAGTCAGTTAACCTCTTTGAGCCTCAGGTGTCTCATCTGTAAAATGGGAATAAGAAGAGTAGTTACCTCATAGAATTGCTGTAAGTCATTAGCTGTGAAGTGCCTGGTATACTATACAGTCCAGTCAGGCTGCTGTAACAGGGCACCATCAACTGGGGGCCTTATAAACAGCATCTGGTTCTCATAGTTCTGGAGGCTGGAAGTCCAGGATCGAGACATGGGCAGATTCAGGGTCTGGTGAAGAACCCACTTTCTGGTTCACAGAATTCTTGCTGTGTCCTCACATGGCTGAGAGATCATCTCTCTCCAGTCTCTTGTAAGGGCACTGATACCATTCATGAGGCTCCACCCTTACGATCTAATCACCTCCCAAAACTCTACTTCCCAAAAAACCATCCCAAATGGGGGTTAGGTTTCAATATAGGAATTTTGGGTGTGGGGGCACTTTCAGTTTAT